GTTAGGAGAACGAGGGCCCCTGCGGAGCAGCGGCAGCAACATTGGGGGCTGCTGCTGCTGAATAACGGTAGGAAGGATGTTGCATGCGTTAGTAGGCTATAAGAGCAGCAAGCATAGATTAAAGCAGCAGGAGGTCTTAGAAAAAAAAGTCAGCAGCAGCAGCAGTCCTGCTGCTGCTGCTGCTGTTGCTGCAGCATCGAGCGGCGCCTCCCACCTTATACGGTGGTGATCAAGATGTATGACGAAGTTTGTTGTATGCTTCCCTTAAATATACAAAAAGAAAATACATAAAAAGGTATTATCCCTTAATAAGAGTATGCATGCACAGAAGGAGCAGCAGGCACGAAGAACGGGTACAATGCTGCTGTTGCTGCTGCTGCTGCTGCTGTAGCGGCTGCTGCTACTCTGTTGCGGGTGCTGTGCTGCTGCCTCCTATAACTGCTAAGGAAGAGAAAATATTGTATTTATTTTATTTGTTTTTTAATTTATTATTAATTAACTAATTAATTAATTCTTTTATTCGCTTATTTTTATTCTTTTAAGGAGAAAAAGACAAGAAAAGATACAAGGGGGGTCGCCTGTGTATTAGTGAGCCGCCGCTCCCTTGTGCTCGCCGGGTGTATAGGCAGCTCAGGTGTATGCACATCTTACAAAAAACGTGTTTATTTTCTTTATTTCTGTATTACCTTATGTTATTAACCAAGTTTATTACTCAATACTTGCCTATACACCTGCCCCCCTTTACTAGGAAGGAAGGAGGACCTTATATACTGACATATACTGGTATAATAATACTTCTTCTTGTATAACAAAAGCCTCCATCATCTATAACAATTAATATAATAGAGGGGGGGCCCCTACAGGGGGATAATCACTTATTTAATAGTATGCAGGGGCCCCCTTAGGGGGGCCACTTCTATTGCTATAAGATATTGCTGCTGGCTTCTATAGGAGGTAAAAGGCATCTTGCTGCTGCATGCATGCAAGACGGCCCCGCACGCAAGCATCTGCATGCATCTGCATGCAGATGCAACACTGTAAGCAGCAGCAGAAAGCATCTTCTTGCCTAGGGGGTTGGGGGTTGGGGGGGGGGCGCATGCAT